TACTGTTATTTTATCCAACAGGAGCCAGAATTTTTAGTTTGTGAGGACATTATGGAGGTCGATGGTGATATAGTACAGAATAAGCTATGGTGGCATATACCACTTAAAGTAAGAGAGTGATATTTGAAGAAAATAATAAGAATAATGATACAAGTACATACAAATTGCACATATTTACAGAATGTCACATGGTAACATTTTATTAAATTAATAAATTTTGGACCAAAAATAAAATTAAAACAATCAATTAGTTATTGACATCTCAGCACCTGTAAAAGTTCTGTGCAATTTATCTGTACAAGTATCATTTCTGAAATAGTAAAACTAATTATTTTATTTAAAAACTTTGTTAAAAGAAATATAACCTAATCAATTTTTGTTTAACCGATATAAAACATGCAAGTGGATCTACATGTTGGGGATTGAAAAGTTCTTTATAAAGATTAAGAACAAATTGCTAAAAACTCTAAACTTTCATACTTACCTTTACACGTTATCACATTTATATCTCAATTTTTTTCATTGCATTCTTATTCTCAAATTAACATAAATTATTCTTAATTATTTAAAATAGAGTAAAAAGACTTATTTGTCCATTGTACTTTTAGATAAACAAAACAAATGATGATGCAAAATGCGATTAAATATTTGGTCCTTATTTTAAAGCGCATTAGCAATATTTTGGACGAAAATCATGATTAGTGACAAGATCTTTTGATCAATTAAATGTTGAAGAATTGGATTAAAATAGGGAAAAAATAATAGTGTAGAGGACATTCGAATTCCAATTTGGACTCATAATAGCATTCCGGAAATAGAAAGACGATACGAGTAATACACATCACTATACCATGACTTACAACGGATTTTGACCATCCGAGTTCGTTTAGAACTTGAAAACTAATTTTTAATGTTTTAGCGCTAGTTTTTGTCATTTACTTTATTTCGAATTCCTTTTTAATTTTAATTTGTTTAAGTTAAGTTTTCATTAATTTTTGTCTTATTAAACTAGGTTTTCATGTAAACTCTTATAAATAAAAGATTATCTCATTGTTTTTTTTTCTTACCTTTCATTAATAAAATTCGTGAGTTTAAGTTTTCATAATTTGGTGGATTTCTTAAGGTTTTCGCGTCATAAAAATAAGAATATGATAAAGAAAAAAGTTTTAAAATGTAACTGTAATAATGAATACAGGTTAATGATATTTAATATAATTAAAACGTGTCGTATTTATAAAAGAAAAAGCTGGGTGAATACAATCACCATTTTTAAAGTCAATAATAGGGCAGTAGGCTTTCACCACAACGTCTTCTTCGCAGCAATCAAATAATTGACGGAACTTTGTGAAGGGTTTTGTTGGACTTTAGCAATTATTGAACATGAATAGAGATTATTGAATTTCTTTTGGTGACAAAAAGTGTATAGTCTCTTTCTTTTCTGCTGGAGTTTTTACTAGATCCATCTGTTTTGGCGAAAGATCCATTATTTCTCTCTAGACTACTACTTATTTCTTGTTAGATGCCCCTTTACAACTTCCTTAATATTCATAGTTCATTATGTTTTGTTTCGGTTATCTCTTTGGTGAGTCATGGTCTAAAAGTTGAACGTTCCAAGTGAGTTTCTCGAGTGAAATATCTGTCGGGGGTGAGTGATGCTCGTTTTTGCTGAGGATTAGTTTTTCACGCTTTTGGTTACATAGACTTTGAAATGATTAAGTAATATGATTGATTAGGTAATATGATTGATCTTGTTCAATGCTATATCATGG